AAGGGTTGGGTGGCTGGATACAGGCAAGCAGGAGGCTTCTATAGCCAGAGCCAGACTGGCCTTGCCAAGTCCCCATACCTCTAGTACCAGACCAGTTCCCCCGAGACCTTGCAGGTAGAACTCACTCAGGGTTCCTCTCTCTGTCTCTTTGGTCTTCAAAGTCCTTCTGTTCAGCTCCATCTACGCTCTGAGGGCATGAACTATATTTGGGAGACTGGTGTGGGGGCCCAGTTGACTATAGGAATGGACAAATAGCAAGCAAGAGGGTTGAATCCAGGTCATTCAGATGATCCAGGAGTAAGGAAAAAAGCATACTTTGCATCACTCACAGTCAGGATAATGCCTGAAGATGTGTTAGAATTTTCCAATATTAGCTGCAGTCTGGACATGGGCTATAGAGACAGAATTTGTTCTTTTGGAGACCTGGGAAAGGGTATCCTGGGCTACATGATATCTACTCCTTGTTCATTGCCAGGAGTGGGAAGTAGGGATTGGAGGGCAGACCCCAAGCCCTGAGAGGGTAAAAGAATGAGCCATGCCACACAGCCAGAAAGAGATCTGTCACTCAGTCCAGGATAGTCAACTTCCTTGTACCTGGCACTATCTTTTCCATGCCAGGCAGAGCTGGAAGAAGGGAGAAGATGGTGCAGAACGGTAGTACCAATGCATGACTGGCTCACAGGACTTACCCAGCATGCTTGGCTCCTCTTTGGGTTGCACGTAGATCCAGATGTGGAGAGAGGAAGGAGAACAGGGAGGAGAAAGAATGGGAAGGAAGGAGGATGTGGGGAGGAGGGCAGATGACAGGGTCAGTCAGTGGGGAGAGGAGAGAATAGGAAGGAGAGCAGATGAGGAGAGGAGGGCGAAGGGGAGAGAATGCACCCCCGTGGGCAACTGGGCTTTCATACTGGGATCCCTCCATCTTGTAGTGTATTTGTGTTCCTGGTAACACAGCATTCAAGGGCTTCCCGTGGGGAAACTGAGGTCGAGGCCACAAGGGTAGGGACAATAAGACTGGTGGTGACCCAGCACTGCCTCACTGGCAAGCTACTGTTGTCTTCCAGTGATGTCCCAGGAGACTCAGTGGAGAGAACTCCATCTCAGGGGTGGAGGCACTGGGGCCACATACAGAGATGACCCAGATGCAGGAGCAAGGTCTGTGCCGGCTTTGAACCCAGATGGGAGTGGATGTATAGGGGTTCCTGGATCCAGTCAGAGCATGGTCCAGATAGGTGTAACCTTCAGGGAAAAGCAAGTAGATGCCAGTAATCCCAGAACCTATAGCAGGAGAATCAGGAACTCAAGGTCAGCTACAATAGTTAGACCCCCATACAACAAAACCAAGCCTAGTCAAGCCAAGCCGAGCCAAGCCAAATCAAACCTAACTGAATGCATTTGCTAAGACCAGGGTCACAGAAGGGCTCCTTTTCCTGAAGCTGCCCATCCCAACTTGGCCCAAAGTGATCACCACCAGATCAAGCCCTGGGACTTGGAGTTTCCATCCAACTGAGACTGGTGATGTCAGTGTGCCTGTGGCAAAGCTGGGGAAAAGGACGTCAGAGAAGGTCTGGGCCTTGGATCACATTGAGGGCATGTCTAGGGTGTTTCCAGTGGAGCCTGGAAGGAATGTGGGCAGAGATTTAGAGCCATCAATAAGTGAGGACAGTGACCAGACTCCCCACTAGCCTTGGTCTAAGAGTTTCTTAAGTGTTAGGTTTGCAGGAAAAAAATGCTGTAAACATTCAATTCTTCCTATTTAATTGTCTATTTTAATTAACATATTCTGTACCATCAATTACACTTGATCTTAGCCAAAAGTCTGGGAAGTGATGTACCACCAATTTAAATATTTACTTTACTCATTTGTTAAACTAGCTCACATTTCTTTTTAACAAGCATATTTGTAGAGGAAATCCTATATTACTACAGAAAACGAGGAATGTGAGTATCAGTTGTCATTTACAGATGTCAATGAGGCAGACATGTCTAACTAGATGCTGTTACTTCCTGCAGGTTCTGAATCAGGGTGAGCTTGATTTGATTGGCTAGGATGGTTGACAGGTGTGGAGGCTGCTAAGGAGACTACAGTGCTGATTGAGATTTCTTTCCTCGAGAATCAGGAGACTGGGAAACAGCAAAGGAAATGCTTTTCTTACCATGTGACCAGTGTTTCTGTTGTTGTTTTGACAGGGTCTTGCTATGTATCCCAGGCTGGTCTCCAACTTGCCATTCTCCTGCCCCAGCTCCTGGAATGCTCCACCCTGTTACTGAGCATAGTCTCCATGCATCACCCAGAAGCATCTCTCATATGCTAGTCTTTATTTACCTACCATCCAGAGACCCTCTTCCAGACCCTTGCTAGGAAGAGCCTCATACCCCTCAGCCACACCTCTAAGACTTCAGGCCCTTGTTGACCCTCGTGGACTTCCTATTTTAAGTTGTCTTCCAGCCCTGGGCATCCATTTGAAATGATGAGTTCTTTCTCTTTCATTCTGTTTGTTGGGATCTTACTTTGACCAGGCATGGGGTTTGGGCACTGGGGCATGTGCAAGACGAGCAGGTACAGGCTTAGAGAAGCCCCTGCTGAGGCCAGGGAGGGGAAGAATCCTTGCTGCAGTGGGGTGGTGCTGCTGGTGGCCCTAAGATGCAAGGTGAGAACTCAGAACTGGACAAAGGACTAAGCGGGAGTTCAGAGGAGGAGCCCCAGGAAGAGGAGACACACAGGTTTGCTCAGGGAGGCTTCCTGGAAGAGGAGGCTCACAGGTATGCTAGCTGTGAGTAGGAGTTTCCTGAATAGAGAAGATATGAGAGAGCATTTTGGTGGGAAAGGAACTGCATGAGCTCAAGTGTTGTGTAAGGAGCGTCACATGTTTAATAGGTTGTTTGGAGAGCGGGATGCAAAGACGGGGGACTGGCCTTGAATACCAGGAGCATGGATCTTGTCATAAGAGAAGCCAGAGGAGAGACATTAGAAGGGTCATCTCAGAGGCAGCTCAAGAGGTCAAGGAGGGTGACAAGATGGCTCAGTGGGGTAAAAGCACTTGTTGCACAAACCTGGAGAGCTGAGCTTGAACCTCAGAACTGGAGTGAACGTGAAAGAAGGGAGCCCACTCTATAGTCAGCACTTATTTGTACTTGTATGCCAAGGCAGGTGCACCTCCCCCATCAGAACACACACTTTGATTAATTAATGGTTTGAAGATTTTAAAAAAAGGTCAAGGAGCAAGGAAAGCTGTTAGAAGCTGACATCTCAGGGCCAAGGGAGGGCAGTGGGGTGGGGTGGGGGACTTAAGTGGTTGAATGATCAGAAGCAATCGTTCTTTTTTTTTTTTTGAGACAGGGTTTCTCTACGGAGCTTTGGAGCCTATCCTGGCACTTGCTCTGTAGACCAGGCTGGCCCTGAACTCAGAGATCTGCCTGCCTCTGCTTCCCGAGTGCTAGGATTAAAGGCGTGCGCCACCAACGCCTGGCCAGAAGCAATCGTTCTTAAGCCTCTCTCATGCCTCCTTTCATGGAATGGGCAAATCACACTTTGGAGGAGCGATCAGAGGCCCAGCACTGGACAAGTTATCACACAGCCAGGCAGCAGAGTCTGAACTGTGCCTAGGTTATCTGGCAGCAGAGCTCATAGACTCTTCACAATCTCTTTTGGCACTGGTGACCAGAATCAATGTGAGGTTCTATCAGGAGTGAGGAAAAGTCACATCCTGGTATCCGGCCATCCCCAGGATTGAGCATAAGATAGGCACCTAACCAAGAGAAAGTCTACATTCACTGCGGGGTTCTGCAAAAGAATCAGTTCAGAGGCTGGGGAGATGACTCAATGGGAAAGGTGCTTGCCATGCGAGGACAAGGACTCGAGTTTGATCACCAGCACCTGTGTAGAAAGCTGGTCATAGCAGTGTAATCCTACACAATGCACTGCAACACTAGTGCTGGGAAGGCCGGGAGAGAAGCATCCTTATGGCTTGTTGACCAGGTGGTTTCGATGAATCAGTGAGCTCCAGGGTTAGTTAGAGACCCTGCCTCCAAAAGTAAGGTGGGAAGTGACAACTCTGGCCTTCACCTGTGTATATACACATGTACACTTTTAGCACACACACACACACACACACACACACACACACACACACACACACACACACACACACACACAGAGTCACACAAGGCCAGACAGGCCCATCATGCTCCTGTTGTAAAGTCATCTAGCAGTAACAAGGCTGTATTTACTGGGTTTGCTGTCTTCTCACAGTCTTCCATGTGAATGCTACATGCTGTTCTGGAACTCTGGAGGATGCACAGCTATGCACGTATCTCTATCTTTTGGTCACAGCACCGTCTCAGCAAACTGGCATGTTCGAAGAGCAGAGCCCCGTTTCTCCTGTCAGCCTAAAAGGATGCTGACAACTGGGTTTCCCATTTGATGGGGGCTTCACCAGGGCAGGTGTTGACTGTTTTCTTATCCTGGCAGCTTCCTGTGGGCAGGGTCTGCACTTTTCCTAGCCTTCACAGTAACTTTTGTACCACGGCCGCAGCACAATCCACAGTGTTGACCACCAGGTATGGGCAAGTGAGTTTAGAGAGTAACTATCAACCATGAGTGAGTTTTGATCTTAGGTACTGAGAAGGCTGAGTCTTAGACCTGTTGTCAAGGTCAGCCAGACACCAGACTGTAGGATATAGGTCACCCCCTCAGCAACAGGGCTGATTTATGGTGCCCTTGACAGCCTAATATCATTAAATTGCCCCACACAATGGAGAGAGGCTGGGCTGCTGACGGGCAGTCACCAAGGGACGCAGAGCCTGGGGCTTCCCTGCTGCTCCCATACCCGAGACCTTCTCTGAGTCTACTGGGGGGGGGGGAGCAAGCTGGCACAGAGTGAGGGCACACCCAGGCGTGCCACCTTTAGCAGGGGGTATAAATAGGCAGCTCTAGGGATGGCTCGGTACCCAGCAACCTTGAGACCGCTTCTTGCCTACAGACTCTGGCAGGCAGCACCATGAGTTGCAGACAGATGGCCTCATCTTTCTGGAGTCGCAGCAGCAGCAGCAGCAGCGGCTGTGTTGGCGGAGGAGGCAGAGGGGGCAGCGGGAGCAGCATGCAGTCTTCTTTCAGTCGCTCCTCCAGGGCTGGTGGAGGAGGAGGTCGCTTTAGCTCTTCCAGTGGCTTTGGTGGGGGTGGCCTTGCGGCCTGTGGCAGTGGAGGTGGTGGCAGTTTTGGCTCCAGCTATGGTGGAGGAGCTGGAGGGGGCTTTAGTACAGGGAGTTCCTGCAGTATGTTTGGGGGAGGTTCTAAGGGCTTTGGTGGTAGCTCTGGAGGTGGCTTTGGTGGTGGCTTTGGTGGTGGCTCTGGAGGTGGCTTTGGTGGTGGTTCTGGAGGTGGCTTTGGTGGTGGTTCTGGAGGTGGCTTTGGTGGTGGCTCTGGAGGTGGAGAAGGTGGTATTCTGAATACCAATGAGAAGGCCGTCATGCAGAATCTCAATTCCCGCCTGGCTGCCTACATGGATAAAGTACAGGAACTGGAGGAGGCCAACACCTCCCTGGAGAAACAGATCCAAGAATGGTATTCAAAGAAGGGGCCCAGAATCTTCCAGAAGGACTACTCTCATTTCTACAACACTATTGAAGACCTGAAGGACAGGGTACGCACATGGATCAAATCTCTCTCTCTCTCTCTCTCTCTCTCTCTCTCTCTCTCTCTCTCTCTTCCTTTCTCAGTCTCTCTCACAAAAAGGTAAGATGCTAGAGTCCAAGCAAAACCATGCCAGGGAATCACCTTTTAGAAATTTCACTTTCATCACAAAAAAACTTGTGTTTGGTTTCTAAGGTCTTAGAGGCTTGGGCTTGGATTTGAACTCTGATATTTCATTTTGAGTTTGGACAGAGCAGGGAGGAAGCTTGTATTAACACTGGGGACCTGACTGGAGGGTCCTTTGACCTGGTTCCAAGTCAGCCTTATCCTTCCTTTCCCATTTATCTTGGGCTCTAGGGGCCCTTCTTAATCTTTTTAGGTCCTTAGGACTCAGGTATGTAGGCTGGTTGATCAGTGATGAAAGAATCTCTAATTGTGAGGATGATACCCTTCCATCCATCATCCATCCACTCATCCATCATCCATCCATCCATCCATCCATCCATCTGCACATCCACTGATTCATCTACTAACTTAAGTGGGTGACTACCCTCTGTGTTGCACTGAGCAGCCACAGAGGTAGCTCACACTCAGCCTCCACTCTAAAGGAGTCCACGGCTGGGTTTCTTACTGTTCTCACTCATGCATCCTGCTTTTACATCTTTGTATTTTTGAATGTGCTATTGCCCCAGCTGTAAATCTCTTCCATCCATCTACTTACATGAAATCTTAGCCATCCTTCAGGACACAGTTCAATTGTCATCTCCTTTCCAAGATCTTTCCTGGTCTCTCAGGATGCCCAAAGCTATCTCTCCTTTTTATGACCCTTTTTGGATCATTTAGACTCTGTATTCAATGGTGGGCTCTTTGGAATTTGTTCTAGACTCTCCACTGACTTTGCAGAAGATCTTCAAATATTTGCTGAATGAATGAAGACCACAATGGGCACATCTGAGGAAGGCTGTGTGGGCGCCATGTCACACACAAGCTGATGGGAAAGTTCTCTTGCTTCCTGAACACCTAGGATGGGATTATCCCCTCTGCTGGCTATGTCTGGCCTCTTCCTCTCCCTGAAGTTGGTCATGTCAAGGGAACATGTCACATTCATGCAATATTCTCTTTCAGATTGTGGATCTCACAACAAGGAACAACAGAACACTCCTGGACATAGACAACACTCGCATGACTATGGATGACTTCAGAATTAAGTAAGTCCCGCTCCCTTCCTTCTCCCTATACTGATGTTCTTTCTCCCTCGTCCCCAATTTTCAGAGCTCTGGAGGTCCCAGGAGGATCTAGTACCCTCTTGATCATTCTCTACCCATGGCTGGCCTGTAGGTTTGAGATGGAGCAGACCCTGAGGCAAGGGGTGGATGCTGATATTAATGGCCTGCAGAAAGTGTTGGAAGGTATGAAGATGGAGAAAACTGATCTGGAGATACAGCTTGATACCCTGGATGATGAGCTGAAGGCCCTTAAGAAGAATCACCGGGAGGTAGGTTATTGTGCCTGTGGCTTAGTGGGTACAGGGACAACAGAAGGGTGGGAAGAGGGCGCTGTGGAGCACTGATAGAGTTCTTCATGCTCAAAGGGAACACTCCCAGCTACTCACAGCATGGGTGCTCCTCTTTTGCACCCTGAGAGGACTTGTGGGAGAGGGTTGAAAGATGGCAGGAAGGATCCTGCTCCAACCTCATGTCCTCTTCTTCCCTGGCAGGAGATGAAGCAGCTGACGGGCCAGAATGATGGCGATGTTAGTGTGGAGATAAATGTTGCCCCCAGCACAGATCTCACCCAGATCCTCAATGACATGCGCGAGGAGTACGAGCAACTCATTTCTAAGAACCGCCAGGACATTGAGCAACACTATGAGTCCAAGGTGAACACAGTGGGCTGCCTGTTCAGTTTTCTAACCCTGCTTCCCTGTGTCCTGCTTCCTTCCTCCCCTTTCTCACCCCTCCATCCTTCTACCTTTTCATCTCTCAGCATAGCCCTAGATTATATCTATCCATCCTCCAATGGATGCCACACATTCTTCTTCATTTGCCACATACAGATGCAACTGTGGGGTGGTTGTTCAGAGAGTGGGCGACTCACTATAATTCTATGTGATGGAAGACTTTAGTAGAGACATATAGCATCTTCCACAGTACAGAGTTTCATGCCTGCTCCCTCCCCCCCTGGGTCTCCAAAGCTTGGCACAGAGCCTGGCATATAAAGGCAAGCCATTCTGCATGTATGCAAGAAGTAAGATTAGAAAGGTGGTTTTGGGACATAGTATGAAGGGCCTTGAAATCTTGCTGACAAGGAATATGACATCTAGAGAACTGGATAATCTGGCTGGTGGGACCCAGAACCCAATGGCTTGGTCTCAGCCTTGCTTGGTTTTAAAAGTAAAGATTCTGGTGAGTGAGGCACAGTATTTCCCACAGATGCTCTTGGCTCCACCTGTTCCTAACTGAGCCTTTGGTTTGCAGATGACCCAGATTGAACAAGAAGTGACAAACAGTGGCCAAGAGATGGAGAGCAACATGAAGGAAGTGTCCCAGCTCCAGCACAGCATCCAGGAGTTGGACATCGAGCTGCAGACTCAGCTTAGCACGGTTGGTAGTCCTGCTCCAGGTTCACTGCCAGGGCATGGCATGGGGGCATGGGGTGGCTTTACAGAATCCTCAGCAGGGGCCAGGATAGGAACATTCCTCCTAAAGTCTCTTCTTGCTCCCTAGAAATCGGCCCTGGAGAAGGCTTTGGAGGACACAAAGAACCGCTACTGTGGCCAGCTGCAACAGATCCAAGAACAGATCAGTCAGGTGGAGGCCCAGCTTGCTGAGGTCCGAGCCGAAACCGAGTGTCAGAACCAGGAATACGGCATTCTGCTAGGCATCAAGACAAGGCTGGAAAAAGAAATCGAGACTTACCACAACCTCCTTGAAGGCGGCCAGCAAGACTTGTAGGTCCTCAGGAGTCTGTAGACTCTAGAGTGTGGAATCTTGTAGGAGTCCTTAGGCTTCTGACACTATTTCTAACCTTCTTAATACAGCCGCTAGATAAGTTCTTGTATGCAAGGGTCTGATGGATTGAGAACTTCATCCTCTGTGTGTGTGTGTGTGTGTGTGTGTGTATGTGTGTTTGGGGGGAGCATGGGGCTTTCAAGTGTTGGAAAGGGGAGTGGTAACAATGAGGGGAAGGGTAACAATGAGGGGAATGAGTCTTGATTCTGTCTGGGTTCATCCTTTTATATGTACCTATGTATTTTTCTTTATCCTTAGTGAATCTTGTGGTGCTGGACAAATTGGCTTTGGAAGTGGCAAAGGAAGACAAAGAGGAAGTGGAGGCAGCTATGGAGGAGGAAGTGGGGGCAGCTATGGAGGAGGAAGTGGGGGCAGCTATGGAGGAGGAAGTGGGGGCAGCTATGGTGGAGGAAGTGAGCAAGAGGAAGTGGAGGTAGCTATGGAGGAGGAGGTGGGGGCAGCTATGGAGGAGGAAGTGGGGGCAGCTATGGAGGAGGAAGTGGGGGCAGCTATGGTGGAGGAAGTGGGGGCAGCCAAGGTGGAAAAAGTGGAGGCGGCCATGGAGGAGGAAGTGGGGGCGGCCATGGAGGAGGAAGTGGGGGCAGCCAAGGTGGAAAAAGTGGAGGTGGCCAGGGAGGAGGAAGTGGAGGCAGCTATGGAGGAGGAAGCAGTTCTGGGGGAGGCAGTGGAGGAAGTTATGGTGGAGGAAGTGGATCCAGGGGAGGAAGTGGAGGTGGCCAAAGTAGAGGAGGTGGCTCCAAGGGAGGCAGTGGAGGCAGCCATGGTGGAGGAAGTGGTTCTGGAGGAGGAAGTGGAGGCAGCCATGGTGGAGGAAGTGGTTCTGGAGGAGGAAGTGGAGGCAGCCATGGTGGAGGAAGTGGTTCTGGAGGAGGAAGTGGAGGCAGCCATGGTGGAGGAAGTGGTTCTGGAGGAGGAAGTGGAGGCGGCTATGGTGGAGGAGATAGACGGCCCTCTCAGTCCCAGTCCTCAAAATCTGCTGACTGTGATGATGAATCACAAGGTAAGGAGTTACTGAATTCACAGTGCTGTGCACCTAGGCAACTACCCTTTTTCTGTGTATCTTTGGACTTCTTTGGGGGAACTGCAGGTTTTGAACAGGAATGGATTTTAGGAAAGTCTCTAGTGCACTAGTATAGACTCTTAGTTGGTTCTTAATTCACCATTGGGATTAAATCTGCACATGGCCTGGGTCTCAGGAATTCGAGGAGATGCTTTGCAAGTTGTACACTGTCATGCGCATTTTTACTGCAGCCCATAGATAGGCTTTACTTATGGAAAATGAAGTTCAGAAGAAGCAAGTTATTTCCTCAGAACCATGCAATTTCCGAATGATGGGTACAGCACTGTGGGCCTCCATGGCCAGTGTCTTCAATCCTCATTAGCATGGGCAGCCTGGATCAATGACAACACGTGGGGAAAGAGACCCAGGGGTCTTAGTCAGTGGTCAGTTAGTACAACCAGTGCATGGCACAACTGTTGAAGAGATCACATCACGGGTGCTATCATCCGCCTCTAAGAAGGACTCATGCAGGTGAGGTGACCTCTAAGTCATGGAACGATGTCTTGTGTGTACAAACTGAATTTAATGTGGTAAAAACTCAGTCTCTGGGTTAGAGAGATAGCTCAACAGTTAAGAGCACTTGCTGCTTTTTGTAGGGTACCTGGCTCAATTCTCAGTATCCATGGTGGTTCAGAAACATCTAGAACTCCAGTTCCAGGGGATCCCATGGCCTTTTCTGACTTCTGAGAGCACCAGGCACAAAGACAGTACATATGCATACATAGAGGCAAAATACCCATGTAAATAAATAAATAAAACCACTGAGCTTTAAGCCAAGGTTTCATCTTCAAAAAGAAATCCAACATGATGTTACAATAAATGTCTGGCTAACAGCACTGCAATATATAGCTCAGAGAAACCTTTAGGTATCAGGGAACAGTTCCTTTACAAGGTATCTTGTGTGTTTTTCATGTCCAATTCCTTTGCAGGAGCATAGATGTGCAACTATGGATGAGGTTGGGGTTACCTTTGCCTGAGTAGCCAAAGAATGTACTGACAAGGCTGTGGGATGGTCCATGGGCTCTCCATCCTCAGAGCTGCTGCAGGAGAGATTGGGAATTGGATGGGGCCATAGGCTTGTTGGTTTTAGTCCTTCCATCTCAGTGTTCTCCAGCTCTATATGAGATCCAGGCTTCTTGCTCCTAGTTTCTTCATCTTTCTTTAAGTCTCCACCCAAAGTCTCTCTCCTTACTGCTGTCTCCTTTCCTCCCCTCCACAGGCTACCATATGCGATACTAGAGCCCTGGTCAACTTTCCCCACACAGCCCCAGCTGGGACTGCCCTAGGAGGGCAGAATCTACATGAAGCAAGCTTACTGTATCCTGCCATTGAGACTGGGTGGCAACAAACCAGAGTCCCTGTTTGGAACTGGATGGAGTTGGCATTGTGCCTCTGGACATCTATTGGCTGTGTCCCTTGCTGGGGAGGCTTCATGGCTGGGGAGAACTTGATTCTTCCATGTGTCCTGGGGGTGTCCCCACTTCCTTCCTTATCCTGACTTTCTAATAAAGTTCTCCTATTGCAAATTAAACTTGGACTCTGATGTGTTTGTCCACTGAGATTAAATAGTATGATGTTTTGATCTCGGTTGTGAACTTGATTAGACTGAGAATCTCCTGGGAGGCAGTAATGCTTGTTTGGGTGTGTCTGTGAATACATCTCCAGGGATAATTAACTAAAGGGATGAAGATCCACGTTGAATAAGGTGACACTATCCTGAGCTCATGGATGGAATAAAAAAAGCGAGATAGCCAACAAGTACATACACTCTGTCTCCCTACCACACTGTGTGCTATGATTTGAGCTGTCATACACTCCCTAAACTTTGCCCCTTTCTTTCTTTCTTTCTTTCTTTCTTTCTTTCTTTCTTTCTTTCTTTCTTTCTTTCTTTCTTTCTTTTCTCTCTCTCTCTCTCTCTCTCTCTCTCTCTCTCTCTCTCTCTCCCCCTTCCTTCCTTCCTTCCTTCCTTTCCTCCCTCTCTCCCTCCCTCGATTTTTTTTTCTGAGACAGGGTTTCTCTGTATCTTTGAAGCCTGTCCTGGAACTTGCTCTGTAGACCAGGCTGTCCTTGAAATCACAGAGATTCACCTGTCTCTCCCTCCCGAGTGCTGGGATTGAAGGCCTGCACCACCACTGCCTGGCCCTTTTATGTTTTCTTTTTCTTTTTTTTTTAACTAAAGATTCATTAACTATTTTTATTTATGTGCATGCTGTGTGTGCCTACATGAGTTTATGTGTACCACATGCCTGCAGCTGCCTGAGAGGCTAGAGGGTGTCAGACCCTCTGGGACTGGAATTAGAGGTAGTGAATAGCCACCTGATGGGAATGCTGAGACCTGAATCTAGGCCTGCTTGCAAGAGTAGTAGATGCCCTTAACCACTGAGCCATCGCTCCAGCCCCCTCTTTTCATGTCCTCCTGGAGACTGGACCTGCTTTGCTCATGCTAAGCAAGCACTCTACCACTGATCTTCATTCCCCAGCTCTCTGCAGCCCAGACAAGACTTGAACATGTGACCTTCCTGCTTCAGCCTCTTGGGATTTATAGGCTCATGGAGACTGTCTGTCTGTAAGTTCTCTGTGTTAGGCATTACGTCACAGGAATAAAAACCTAATGTAAACAGCATCTCAGGGGGCCAGGGAGAACTAACTGAACTTATTTTTGAAAAGAGTTGGTTAACTTTTCCATCATTTCACTTGCATTAAGAATAAAGCAACTCACAAGGAAGCTCCTTAAATGGCCATTTACTTGTGATTCTGCAGTTGGCAGTTTAGATGGAACAGTTCTATTTTTTTAAGGCATCTGTGTCCAGCTGCAAGGCATCTAGGTGGCTCTGACTTTGGGGTTGCCTGGGAGCTGGCTGGGCTGTTGAGGATGAATGGGTGATTCTCAGCTCCCAGTCAGCCGACTTGAGGCAGTGTCCCAAGGCACCTGGCAGTTATGTGAGGTCCTTGGAGGAGCAGTCACTTTGGCTGCATGGTGTTGGCCAACACAAGTCAGCACCTAATCTAGATTTGAGAGCAGGGGCAGCAGACTCCTCTTGAGACCAAGAGCTCAACAGCCACGTGATGAAAGACACAGAGAGCAATAATGGAGACCATTTTGGGCAAGCAATCTACTGTGCTCTATTAGGAGGTCACATGTTAACTACAGAGTGGAACAAGACAAAAATGTTTGGCATATGCAATAGAAGATATCACAAGTGGTGAAATGTAGGCATAAATAAGGCACTCCTAGGAAGATTGAAGAATATCCCAGGAGTTGGTGGCGCACACCTTTAATCCCAGAACTTGGGAGGCAGAGGCAGGTGGATCTCTGTGAGTTTGAGGCCAGCCTGGTCTCCAGAGTGAGTGCCAGGATAGGCTCCAAAGCTACATAGAGAAACCCTTTCTGGAAAAACCAAAAAAAAAAAAAATTCCCACAAGAGTCCTCTAAGACTCTAATTGGCTCGGATGGTCAAAAGTCCTTTACCAGTTAGGGACAGACCTCCCCTTTAGACGATTCTTCAGATACTGTGGCTGCATATCAAGCCACCCGTAATGGTTTGGATTTGAAATGTTTCCCAGAAGCTTTTGGGTTGAAACTTATCCCGAGATAACCTCACTGTTGGGAGGTGGTGGAAACTTTAGAACAATGGTCCTCAATCTTTCCATTGCTATGACAGTTCTTCATGTTGTGGTGACCCAACCACAAAATTATTTTCATTGATACTTCATGACTCTAATTTTGTTACTGTTATGACTCATAATGCAAATATCTGACATGTGACTCCCATGGGGGGGTCATGACCCACAGGTTGAGAACCAATGCTTTAGAAGACTGGGCATACTAGAAGGATTTGATCTCTCTTCCTTTTTGCTTTCTGATCACCTTGAGGTGAGCAATTTCCTTCATTATGCTCTCATCCTAGTTTACTGTCTACAGGCCCAAGGGCCTAGAGCCGGACTGCTGGAGACTAGAGTCACTGAACCAAAGTAAGTGCTTTCTCCTTTGAAGCTGTCTCAGGCCTTTTGTTATAGTGATGGGAACTAATGCACCACATCAAAGCTTGAACGTGTGTCCATCCTTTCAAAAAATGCCTGTGTGTTCATGTGCATGTGCGCAGACATGAGTGCTGGCGAGCACGTGAAGGTCAGAGGACAACGTTGGATGTCATCCATAGGAACGTCATCCACCTGCTTTGAGACTGGTAGCCTGCCACCCTCAGAGTAGACCAGAATGTATAGCCTGCAGTCCCCGGGCAATGGAAGTAGAGGAAGGTCTGGTGAAGTCCTGAGTCAATATGTGCTGTTGACACGGGCACCAACATGTCAATGGTCCTGTCTCAGAACTAAAGGGAAATGGCAAAGCCTCTGCACTCCCACCTTCCTGGAGGTGAGGCTCCAAGGGAAATGGCAAAGCCTTCTCTTCTGATCCACGTGAAGATGTTGATAGTGTTTCCAGAAAATGTCTACTGTACTGTTCTCCTTTCAGATATTAACAGCCTGAAAACTGCTCCCCCACAGACAGTGGTCCTACTCAGATGGGCGAAACCTCTCTCCGTGCTCAGTGGTTTACCAGAAATCCTGCCTCCTCTTTTATCTGTGTATTATTCAGCTGATGCAATAACTGAGCAGCTCAGGGGCTGAGGTATCTCTAGCTGAGATTTTAGTCTGTCTGACCAGGTCTTCTGTCCACCGTGTGGGTCCCGGAATCAAACTCAGGTGGTCAGGATTCGAGGCAAGCATCTTTACCCATTGAGCCATCTTGTTGACCCTGAGTCATGAGATTTCAGTGGTGGTTGAAGATTGAAGGAGCTGTATGGTGAGAAATATAGAGGATCTCCTGCTGAAGACTCTCATCAGAAAGAGACTTTCAGCCCTGCGCCCAGCTGCAACGAACTGACATCTTCCAAAAACAAGAAAGTATTTGGAAGCAGATTTTGCATCAGTCTCTAGGTGAGCACTCATCTTGATTTTAGCCTTTTGCTACCCTGCAGTAGTTCTGTTGAGTTATAGTTAAAGACTTAGTTTAAGCCCCTGAGTCTTCAGGATTTGGTAGGAAGAAATAGAAATATGGACCCGGTGATGATTAGTGCTATGCTCGGGTGCATGAACACTTGGCCCCCAGTTGATGGTGCTATCTAGGGAGGTTATGGAACCATCAGGAGGTAGATCCTTGATGAAATATGAAAGTTCACAGCCTGGTCCAACTTCTAGTTTGTTCTCTCTGCTTCCACTCTGCCACCACACATTTGATTTCTCAGCTTCTTGATCCAGTCTTCCCTTGCCCTATGGATTCTCCCTCTGGTACTTTAAGCTCAGATAAACTTTCTTTCACAGGTTGCTTTTAATCATGGTGTTTTATCACAGCAACAGAAATTAAGTGATACAGGTGGGATGACTCAGCTACCGTGGTGGGGGGTGTTATTCTACAGTCAGGGAATCCTGGGCTGTGTGAAAAAAGAACTGTGGAGGTTTGAATTAAGAATGGTCCCCACAGGCTCATATATTTGATTGCTTGGTCATCAGGGATTGGCACTACTTGAGAAGGATTAGATATGGCCTTGTTGGAGTAGGTGCGGTCTTGTTGGAGGAAGTGTGTCAAAAGCCCATGCCAGGTCTCTCTCTCTCTCTCTCTCTCTCTCTCTCTCTCTCCTTCTCTCCCTTTTTCTCTCTCTCTGCCTATGGATCAGGATGTAGATCTCAGCTACTGCTCCAGTGCCTGCTGGCATGAAGCTGTGCTCCCCAACATGATGACAGCAGACTAAGCAAGACCCATTTGTAAGAGTTACCATGGTCCTGGTGTCTCTTCACAGTGATTAGAACAGTGACTAAGACAGGAACCAAGCATCAGCTTGTTTGTCCCTCTCTGCTTCCTGTTTGTAGATGTCATGGAACCAGCTGTTTCAAGCTGGCTTGACTTCCCTGCCAGGATGGATTGTACCTTGAACTGTGTCTCATATGTTGCTTTTGTCAGAGTATTTTATCAGAAAAAGAGGAAAAGAAACAAAGATGGCTTATTTCTTTCCTACCCAGACCACATCCTGTATAGGAAATACTTGAAGACATATACATACAGAAGCATGCCTTTGTCTCCTGGGAAGAGAGCATGTGCAACTTGCCACATGCTGGGTCAGATCCCTGGGGGGGGGTGGTGGTTAGTGAAGGGCCAGGGCACTCATGGGTACAGAGGCTCAGAAACAGACAAGACCTTGGGATCCATGCAGGAGGAAGGAGAGTGGTATCTTTTGTACAGGTGA